TAGAGCGCATGCTTAGCATGCTTGAAGTCCTGGATTCAATCCCCAGAACCTCCATTAAAAAATAAGTAAACCTAATTACCTCCCCCATGCCCAAATTTTTTTTAAAAAGAAAAAAAGAGAAGTAAAATAAATAATTAAAATAAGTAATAAATAAAATAAATGAAACCACTTCACAGCTGCTAGAATGACTTCAATGAAAAAACATGGACAATAACAAGTGTTGGTAAGGACGTGGAGAACCTACATTTATACACTGCTCATGGGAATATAAAATGATACAGCCACTTTGGAAAATAGCTTGTTAATTCCTTAAAAAGTTATACATAGACTTACCACCTGACCAGCCATTCCTCTCCTAGGTATCCACCCAGGAAGAATGAAAACAAATGTCAACATAAAGTCTTGTTAATCTTCATAACAACATTATTCCTAATAATCCCAAAGAGAAAAGAATCTAAATGTATATCAGCTGGTGATAAATACAATGGAATACTATTCAGCAATAAAAAGAATGAAACACTGATACACGATACAACATGAATAAGCCTCAAAAACGTTATGCTAAATGAAAGAAGACAGGCAATGGACTACATATTGTGTACTCCATTCATACGAAGTGCCCCAAAAAGGCAAATTTATAAATGCAGAAAGCAGATCAGTGGCTGCCTTGGTGTTGAGGGTGTTAGTGGTGATGGACCACACACAGGTTTGAGGGAAGTTTTGGGTGTGACGGAAATGTTCTAAAACTAGATTGCAATGATGTTTGCACAGCTTTCTAAATTTACCAAAAAAGTACCAAATTGTACACTTATTAGAAAAGAAAAATGGAGTAAGAGGGCCTGTTTTGAAGCATTTTGGGGATATTTTAAGACCAGTAAAATTTGGAACGTAATACAAAATATTGGTACAACAAAAGAATTTGTAAAGTCTCTTCACTTTTCCAATTATAACTAGATTTGTCCTTATTATATTCTCATCCTGACTGTGACTTTGTCAAAGAGAAAGTTTAAAATGATCATATATTTGAAAGGCACAAAATAAAATGAAATTGAATTACCATTTCATATGGTTAAATAGAAAGAATGAAAACGCAGAAGAGGTGGGCCTTGTGTTAGGTTTTTAATGTTAATATGCTGCCACCTAGTGGTCACTTATAGAATGGCAGGACTTGGCTCGTAGGTTTTTTTTTTTTTAATTGAAGTATAGTCAGTTACAATATGTCAATTTTCGGTACACAGCATAATGTTTCAATCATACATATATACACGCATATATTCCTTTTCATATTCTATTTCATTATAGCTTACTACAAGATATTGAATGTAGTTCGCCGTGCTATACAGAAATTTGTTTTTTTAATCTATTTTATATATAGTAGTTAGGATTTGCAAATTTTTTCTTATGTTGGATTTGTTGAGCCACGTCTGTATGACACAAATATCTGAATGCTTGGCTATGTGTAGGTTAAACATCTGAATGAATCACTGAATAATTTATGCTTCATAAAAATACTGTGGTGGCAAGAACTGGATTGGGAGTTCCTCCAAAACAGCTTCTAGTTCCTGATCTGTGTCAGCTTTGTGACTTTGGGCCAGGAAAAGATTAATTTGTTGGTTTCAAAGTCCAAGGAGAGGCTCTGTAAAGAAATGGCTAAGAGCACGGCCTTGGGGCAAACTCCTTAACTACTCTGAACTTTGGTATCCTGTTGTTTAAAATGGGGATAAGAGAATACCCGCTGCCAGGGCAGCTGTGAGAATTACATGTAAGAATGCATGTAAAATATTCATTTCAGGATACACCTCAGCGTTAGGCTACTGTGATGGTTCCCTTTAGTGACCATGTGCCTTATGGGGGGAAAAATCCTTTATCTATTATTTAAAATTAGTAACCCCTCCCCACCCCATCCCAAAGCAATGAACAAAAACCCAGAGGGACGTAATTTCGGAAAACAAAATATACTTAGATCCTCAGCTAATTGGAAAAACATATTTGAACAATTTAATTTTCAAAATAATGAGTAAATGTTAAGGTTGCATAGAACTGGAAATCTTACAAATAACTTGAAACTTGGACTTGCTGATTGTTTTAAAACAATACAGACAGCGATAGGGATGTTCAGGGGCGACTCTTCTGACACTCTCATCACC